TGTTATCCTGGCTATTATTAGCACTAACAATTGGTTCAGGATAGAACATATTTCTGTAATAATTATATAATTAGGCTTGCCAATATATTACCTACACTGTGCTTGATACCTAAAACATTACCTCTCATTTTCAATATTTGTTTCCGGTTCCTGGAAATTTGAAAGAACCCTCAGAGACGTGTTTATTATTTTTGCTAATGTTAATAATGATTCAAATTAGGTTTTACCTACCTACCTTCGTCGCTAGGGTTGATAAATAGTCAATAATCCATCATAGGACTTATCACACCAAACATTCACGCTAATAAATACACACAACTTAATAAGTGTTTTTTATCGAACAAGCTAGCATCATTGCTCGTATACCCTTCAGATTCTTCGGATGATGTAATCAAATAAATAAATTTATTAAATATACTATATTATATTTTTTTAAAATCTTAATTTGTTTGTTGAAGTTTTAAACAAACGATATTGAACTCAAAGTAATAAATATAACTTATCCGTACAAGGTGGACATAAGCGATGAATAATATTATACATAATTTGCAAATGTTTTTATACAGAATTAACTAACAAAGATAAAATGAAAACACTTTTAAACAATTATTTTGTTACAGTCATAAATTTTTCTAAAAAAAAATAAAATAAAATAAGACTTATGTTTGACATAATCTTCTTATTTGCTTTGAGCTTAAGGCAACATTAACAGGTTATGTAGCAAGTCGTAACATCAACATTCGGAGAAACTTAGTTTAGTATCATCTTACTGTTAACAGTTGTAACTGTAATTTTCTCCACTCAAATATTATTATATGCTTTAATGATAACTATTTATGCTCGTTTATATAAAATTTTGTTATTTTTTAATTACACATTATATATAATATCATAAAACGAATAGAACGTATTTATTATAAAAATGAAAATTGTTTTATACTTGAAAACGTTTTAATTAACCTATTGACGTTGTTGATGGTGTTAAGCTATGAATATTTTTACAGGTTCAAGTTGAAATAACCCGACTTCCGCATGGAATAATGTAAAGATTTATGTAGGCTCTTATTCTACCTCCTTTACGCATTAAACGATTGTAGCTTTACCCAAAATGGGCGCTAACATTAAAACATGAGCGAAAGTAAAGCAGCCCATTCAAGAAATAATTGGCTATCGCCCCAAGAGAAAGAATGAGGGTGTTGGAAATATTCATGAAGACTTCATTTCGCCCTCAAAGGTCAAACGGTTAATATAAAACGCAGAATTTCCCTTAACAAATGGTTTATTTGCATTCGGCCAGTACAAACTCAATTCTTCCGAAAGACGCTGTGAAATACAACTTCCCTTTTCTCTCCCTAATGGATCTTTGCCGAGAGATGATTTATTACGTTTAAAGGGGGGGGGAGCCTATAGTGGTCCTGCAAAATTTTCCCTTCCTCCTAAAATATGAATCTGTCCTAGCGGTTAGTGAATTATCGAAGAGTGCACTCCGATGGTAATTTATTTATCAAGTCTACGCGGAAGGTTCTTTTCAAAGGCGCGTTTTAGATGTCGCCGCTAAATCTACCTATAAATATGGTCATCATTTTTTTTTATTCAAACACTCCATCATTCGTTCACCAATTCACTTTCTCACACAATCATTCTCTAAGACTATTTATTCATTAATGGAAACCACAATAACAATAATTCGAAAGATGTCGCTTTTTTCATAAATTCCCGAAATTTTCCAAATGCATTTTTTTAAATAAAATTCTTTTCGTCTACTATTGAGCTTACTTATCGATAATAAGTAAAACATACACGAAATTTTAATGTTTGAGATTAACCCGGTATTATTAGTCATTTTTTTCAAATTTTCCGCCTTAATGTTGGTTAAAAAAATTAAATAAACTTTTCTTAAATTTTGTAATCTTTTAAAAGGTTTAAAAAAATGCTTGTTAAAAAATAAAATATATAAAATATTTAAAAACATTAACAGGCATTTAATAATATGTAATTAAGAAACAGAAGAATAAACTAATAAAACTTGACAAAATGGCTATTGTTGACAAGGTTTTATAGTCTTTTAGTAGACTCGAGAAACATCATTTTGTGACTTGTCTATCATCACCATCATCAATAAAATCTTCTAAATCGGGTAGAATCGGACAGGATTTGGTGGATATTTTCTACTGACCCGTTTTTCTAGTACGAAAATTTGGCATAAGCTAAATTTTTCAGTAATATTTAAAATCAATTCGTTCTCAAGTAATTAAGTTTATTTAATAACTCTTTATGATAATTGTCTAAGAACAAGACGAAAATTACAAATTTTGTTTAATGTGCGTATAGATTGGCGCTAAATAAATCAACGTTTCCAATGCACGGATTTCCAGATAATGTTACACCAAATTTTTAAAATGGGCATTGCTCTAAAACAACTTTGAGGCCAAAAATGGGTTAATCACTACTTTCAAAATCTCGCAAAAATTACGAAAATTTTATGTTTCAGAATGGGTATTACCACCTTCAACCCCGAAATATTATTAGATTTTGCCTCCAGCAGATTTCTAATAATCAAAAAACCATTTTTTTACTTTTGAGTTAACTTTATCTAAACTAATTGGTTTATAAAAATCGATGTTTTTAACAAGAAACCGTACAAAATATTATAAATATTGACGAGTATTTAGTTAAAAAATAATTAAAAACAGAACAATAAACTAGTAAAAGTAGACAAAATAAATATTTATGACTAGGTTATGTAGACTAGTATACCCAATTTGGAATTTTCTTTTGAAGGTGTCATAGGTTAGATATTGTACGTCATCATCAATATCTTTCAAATCTGATGGAGTAAGGTTATGTCGATCCTTATGACCAATCTATTATATCCGAAAAATTGTAATCAACGTGGCAGATTTTTTTATGCAATAAAATGTAGCTAAAGAAATATGTACGTCAAAAAGCTTTTATTTAGTGGAGGTATGAACTTCTATGTATATTGTATATACAAACCAAATTGATGTTTTTTAATTCCAAAACATACAAATGTCGCGTTCTTTATTCAGAACTTTTTCTTCGGGGAATCCCAATTTTTCTTAAAAACTTTGAAATTTGATATTTACTCTATATTTTATTTTATTTTCAAGTTATTTTATTTTTAAATGGCAACATGAAAAAATTGATTTCTGATTTAAATTGATTATTGATTAAAAAATCTTAAAAATCTTTCCCAAAGTGATGTCAGCGGAAAGATTATAAAGAGGGTATTTGTTTCAAATAAAACACTTCTTTTAATACATATATTTCGATAAGTCGATTGTAGTGTCCGCAAGGTACTTCTTTCATTTTATTGTATTAATTAATTTACTCTTATGAATTAGATAAATTATTTTTTTAGGAAATACGTTTATATCCCTTATTGATTAAGTTTAATATACTATCAAAATTAGTCAATAAAGGATGTACTATTAATTCTAACGTTCCTTGGTCGGCCGTTACGGCGCAATAGACCAACAGTTACGCAAGACTCGTAGGTCGTGCGGGTTTAGTCTATATAGAAAACTGCAACTCAAGGCTATTGTAAATACGTTAATTTTATATGCAAAATACCTAATATTATTTCATTTAATTTTTATTTATTGTCCTCTTATTATTTCTTTCATCTTTACCAAACATAAATTTTTACTAGTCGACAATAAAAATATTAATTACCTTTTAAAGTCTGCTGGGTGATAAACCTTTATTTTATAGCGTACAAATAAGACTATAAATAAAAATCAAGTCTAATCAATTGTTAAACAATAAAGTTTTCTTTCGCATTGTTGGCATTTATTTGGGCGTTATTTTTTCATTCGGTTTTTTTTATTACCAGCACTAACCGTAAGTTATCTTTGCACTTTTATCTACAGCAGAAACTTGTTTTATGTTGCAGATATTTCCTGTCTATGTTTATTTATAAACAAAATTATGTTCTTAAAATTAATAGTATTTAATAAATGTTGTTTAAAGACTTATAAAATGATATATACATATATATTGAAAGAGCCGTTATAGGTCCACAGACTCATAAGATGGTTTTCATGTTAATTTTTATTTAATATTTATTTTATCTATTTTATTCGAATACTAGTTATAGTCTCTAATATTGTTCAGATCTTTTCAGTAAGCTTAATTTTTTTTATCAGATCCCAAAGATTTGTTAAGAGCTCTTTTGAGTATCCTTCAACCCTTGGCATTTACTTTTGCAGTAGAAATCCACCCTTCATAGCCTATGTTCCGCTTCTTTTTTTTTACCGGCAATATCCACCGGTTTCGTGCAAACCCCTCTGTAGTCTCCAGTCCGAATATCATTTTATTCGTTGAACGTCCTTGGTGTATTAGTTCTGCCGTAAGTTTCTGTAAAGTTCCTTTACTGAATCTTTTTGCTGCTTGTGCAGGAAAATCGTTAACTTTTTTGGTAAATTTTCGTTTTTGGCAATTAGGTATGCCGCTAAATGTTTCAGGGTCAAATTGTGTCTTCGTAGTTTATATTCTTTATTGTTTTTCTACCTTCAGGAATCTGGTACCCAAAAATATGGGATTTTTGTCCGCAAATTCTGTCACGGCCTTTATGCATTCCCAAACTGCTCGGGAAATGACTAGCGATGAGTCTTTGCCTAGCCGTTTGCTCGTTGCACTCAATAGCCATAGTTTCTCAGTAATGATGAATATCAGAAAAACGTTTCATAAACACATTAGGTATTTCTTATTATATTTCAAAATGTAGAACACACGAAGTAGATACCCATTCCAAGATAATCGAAAAAATGAAACAATGAAAAAAAAAATTATATTTGGAATTGCATGACCGTTTAAAGGTTTTCGTTTTAATATTTTAAAAACACTAAAAATTAGGATTATTTCTATTTCAGTTGAATAAAGTATTTGACTATTCTTAACAATTTTTGTTGTTTTTATGGTATGAAAAGTGGCGATTGAGTTGTGGAAATTAAAAGAAGATTTATTATGTGTTTCAGGTGCCGTCGATGACAGTCCTCCCTTCGAGCCAGGTAAGTGAAGAATATAATTGCTTGCAGCAGCCTGAACAGGAGTGCTTTTACCACAAATTGTTGCAATCCTCTCACCCACCACAAGCCATCAATTTCGTTGTCGATTACCCCTGGGAATAATTGGAAAAGTGTTGCTTTCCATTAGTTTGATTGGAAAAAAAGAAGTTTTCATGGAAAAAGCTGTTTTATAATGTTGGTCAACAGACAAAATGAAAATCCACTTTGAAAATATTTCATGAGACTGGATGTTATTTATTATTGGCGACAACATGTAGCAGTGAAATTTATGTGCAATTAATATTTAATATTGAAAAAATACTTTAAATACTACAAAATCGTGGCTTTTATAAAGAATATTTACAAAGATTGTTTTGTTCATGATATGGAAGACGACAAAGAGCCGGTAGGTATAGGGCCATGAAGTGGGTTTCTTGTCCAAACCGGGCCAGCCTTGTATACGAGAACTTAGTACAACAGCCTCCCTGGATCCTCCCAGCCCTACTCGTCCGTATAATTTTGCGGTACTCGCTAGAACACCGTCTCACTTATACGGAGCTGCGGCCCAAGAATCAGGGTTTGGTACCGGCTATGGTATAGCATGTTCTGGTATATAGCGGGAATGCGTCCAGATATGGCGTATACATGAAAAACGCGATTTGCAACCCGTTCGGGGTGATTCGAGAAGAAGGAGGCCTATCTCGTCCCTACCGAATCCTTGAGTCTGTTTTCTGCTATCCGTGACATTGGGCCCCCTTGTCGTGCTCTTATTAGAGATATAATAAGCTGGAGCGCCTAGAAAAAATAGTGGTAGTCGTTTAGGTACCCGAACACTTCGGGCTGAAGGCCAGGAACACATGTGCTGAAACGTACTCAGAGCTAACCACCTGCCTGACATAGTATGAGTCGCATTGCAACCCAATAATACAACGTGGGCAGATCATTCGTGAAGCGTCTCAAAAGCACGACTAAACGATCCCCCTATCTATTTGAGGATAGGTCATACACGATTGACACATGGCATATTGTGGCATCCCCGCGCAGATGTACCGCTGATAAAGAAAGTTTCATGTGTCACAATTGATTGAACAGGCCAGGCTTTTTCCCCTTACAGGGAGCGAGTAGGCATGACAATGAATATAAACGAACACTGTATCTACGTAAAGTTTTGAAGAAGAAAGCAAATTCAGTTGTTGCTGTCAAGCTTTTGACTTATTTTAGAATAAAGTTGCCGAAAGATGGGATTGAGCCGGTCTTCAAGAGAATTTGGGATCGCCTGTAAAAAATCTGAAATATTACAATTAATTAAGGTATTTAGTTGAGATAAAAAGTCAATGGCACGAGCGGTATTCGAACCCACGATCTTCGGCTAGATACGCCGCTGCTCTACCACTTGAGCTATCGTGAATTTTCTCTCCTTTTTGTCATTTTTCAAAAGGTTCAAAAGGTGGGGTTGAGATGGGAAGTTAGTGCCCAAGTGGATCGAGGTCAAGATAGCTCAAGTGGTAGAGCAGCGGCATATCTAGCCGAAGATCGTGGGTTCGAATCCCGCTCATGCCATTGAGTTTTTTATCTCAACTAACAACCTTAATTAATTGAAATATATTAATTGGTCAAGCGGACCACGAAATTAGTGAATTTAATGTATTAAAATGCAGTATACTTCACTAAAGCTCTCCGTGGCCATTTCATTTGTCGCCGAGATTCCAATCCGATTACACGACATTTGAAAAATAACAAAAAGGAGAGAAAATTCAAAAGGTGGGGCTGAGATGGGAAGTTAGTGTCCGAGTGGATCGAGGTCACGATAGCTCAAGTGCTTGAGCAGCGGCGTATCTAGCCGAAGATCGTGGGTTCGAATCCCGCTCGTGCCATTGACTTTTTTATCTCAATAAAAACCTTAATTAATTGTAATATATTCATTGGTCAAGCGGACCACGAAATTAGTGAAAATAATCTGAAATTTGTTAATCTGTAGACATATTTAAGATTGTTTTGCCCTGATGATGACCTTAAAATAGGTCGAAAACTTGGCAGTCAAAACTGAATATGCTATTACATTCAAGACCATACTTTGACACAGAGTTTTCCTGAGTGACAAAATCGTCGATATTTCTAATACTGAAAACATAAATATAAACGCAGTAAGGACTGAGGGCGTTTTGGGCCCCGATCCGATTTTTAAGAAAAACGAGGGTGTTTCCCAATCTTTAGTTGGTAAATATTGTATATTATGTATATAATGTATGTGTGTATGTTGTCACGATCGATAACTATGCGTGAATGTAGTGGTGGCGTATCGATCAGCTCAACGGGACGGTGTTACAATCTAGAATATAGTGTTTAATAAACAATTATAATTTTTTCTACAGTGTTCTTACTTTATGTCGTTCTGTGAAGAATACGAGATTGTAACAATCTAAAAAATTGCCGACCATCTCCCCTAAGAACAGTAACAAGAAAGCATAAACTGGGAGAAAACATCATTCTAGATTGTTTATAGGCAGTTCTCAATAAAATAAGTCATTTTATTACTTACCAGTCTTTAATAAAACCTATAAAAAGTGCCTATAAAAAAGCATATGTAAATATTATGCCTGTGTTTATATAATTTATGAAGTTCAGAATGAATAAATATTTCTGGATAGATTTTTAATTTTTTTTATTATCATAAAATAATGAAACGTTTATAAGTGACAGATGCTTCAGTAGGTTTAATAAAATTTCAGCATTTCTTAAACCAAGACTTTATTCAATTTTCCCCGATAGAGTAAAGATTTTAAGAGGTTAACTGGCACGGTTTGCCTTGTCGATAGATCCATGATCATATCAAATTGGTTAGCGTCTCTAAACTGGATATTAAACAATGAAGCACGACTTGATAAATACAGTTATACGCATCAAAGAACAACATTCTTGGGATTTCTCCTAATCAATTTTACCGTTTTGATTAGTAGCCGACTTGATGAACAGGCACGTGTCTTGGAACCTCAATCACATTAGGTTTTGAGAGAGCCGTGTAGTTAGAAGCATGCGAGCTTTGCCCTCCGGCTCAGGCCTTACAAGACAACATCGTCTTTGTACGAAGACTGAACATACTTGCTATTAACTTATTGCTTCGCTTGTTGACAAAGGTATGTCTGTTCAGAAAAAGCAAAACAATATAAACACACCACAATTGAAAAAGAAAGAAGAAAATGATGAATAAACAAATTGGGCAGAAATACTCAACAAAAAGTGAACAGATAATTAACGTACATATAATTTAAAAAAACGTTTAAAATAAATAAACAGATCATTGGAAACAAAGGATGATTATAAAAAAATAGCAGAGTGTGAAATTATCAGAGTATCCTCTGGTTTTCTCCAAAAGTACCTAGACAAATGTAAACAGGTTTGTTAATAGCACAAGCTCTAATTTGTACTATCTGTGTTGAAATAATTGCTAGTTTCGAATTTTGTAAAACGTTTAATAACACGTTTTTCAAGTATAGGCAAATTTCGGTGTATAGAAAGTGTCCTGTGGACAAGGCCAATTTTTTACCATAGAGTACTTTTTGTTTTACATTCATTATTTTTCATAGGAATTTCAAAATTTTGTTATGCAATTTTTTTAACCATTCCTAACCAAAAAATCAGATTTTTAGCAATTAAACGTTAGTTATACATGGTTGATATCTGACCTTAGAGAAATTTTATATATATATATATATATATATATATATATAAATCAAAAATAAATGTACATATATATTTACAGCTCGTCTGTAGGGGTAACATTTCTGTAGGCTCCAAATCCTTCAGTACTTAAAGAACCAAGGATAAACTTTTTTTTAAATTTTATTTTACGAGGGTTCGCAACAGCAGAGGTTATATAAACCCTCGGGGTGCCGGTGTTTTTGAAAAAAAGCCCATTTGTACGTATGTCGGGTTCGAATGCAGGGCCGCTGGATTCGAACCCGGGACCTTTACCTTACAGCGATGAGCGCCGTATCAACGCCTAAACCGTTGCGGCCACTGACGCCCCCCAAGGATAAACTTTAGACAAGAACTTTGGAAACTAGTGTAATTTTAAGTTAATGTATAGTAGAATTAACTTAAACTTAAGATATGTTGGACTGGAGTAATTTATGGAAACTTCAACTTGCTTGAAAAATGAGTTAGCTGGAGTTCAATTGAGAATCAGGCTTTGGACAATTGGGACTGTACAATTTGGCATGTTGGATGGACCTCCTGAAATATGGAATTTTTACATGGGACGCCCTTTATACTAATTGTTTTTACATAAATATTTCAGGAGGTTATCCTGAATGTCACATGTGACTAAAAAGTACTTATTGCCCATTGTCTGATTTTCAATTTAGTAGGAGATATTTCACCTTTCGGAGTCCTTAAACCTTTTATGACGTTTTTTCATAAAACACAGTGTCTCATAATATATTTAATCCTACTTTAATCTGTAATACAGTAATAATTAATCATCAAAACTAATGAAAAAACATTAAAAATCCCTCAAGATTAATTTATTTTGTTTTTCAATTGTCACTTTAAGAGTTCAAAATCAGTTAGATCTTATCCGATTTTCCAAGTCCTTGTTTTTTGTTAAAGTAAGATATCCTTACAGATATGGCGCTTACAGAAACGTTGCCTCTATTAATGGTCTTTAAACAATTTTTCCTAATTTTTCAGAGGTCAGTTATCACCAGTGTTAAATTAACGATTAATTGCTAAAAATTAGATTTTTCCGTTACACATTGTTTTAAAAAAACTATCATTTATGTGTAGAAGGTTCTGTTAAAAATGCTTAAAATAATAAAAAGTAAAACTCAAGACTTTACGGTATAAAATTAAATATACGAAATCAATTTACTACATACTACATATACTATTTTCTCATAATTAAATGCTAAAAGGGTTCGAAATGCTAAATGTTCAAGCGTTCTTAAAGAAAAGCCTGACGTCGTTTCCTGCTAATTTTCTGAGTTAGTTAATGCTAAGTTCTC